TATTGGTTTGTTGTTGTGGAGGGCCAAGGAAAGGTTTATATATAGAGGGAAACTTTCTTTGTTAGTTGCCAGGGGTGGGAGGGAAGAGGAGGGAACACTGAAAAAAAAAAAAAAAGACAAAATTACTTAACTTCTGTAGTTGAGAAACTCATCATATAGAGATTATGTGTAATCAGTAAAAGCACAGAAGCTTCAGTGAGTGTGTGTGCAGAATGCTATGGATACAGGAAAGGGATAGGCCAACTTGCTGGGATGAGGAAAGTGGGGAGGAAACCTGCAGGTGATAAGGTAAGTGCCGGACACTCGAGCCTGTGCAAGGACTGAGCTGTTATAATTGGGTGGGCCCTGGGTAAGTATGGCCTAAAAGCTGGAAGGTGGCATGGGACCAGATCAGTAAGCAAAGATTCGGCATTGCACAGAGGTTGTGTACATCATGTAAGAAGTCAAAATAAATTAACAGCCCCTTTCAACTCTTACTGTTTAAAAATTCTAAAGAACTTGTGACATATATTTTTTTAAGAGTCTGTTTAAGTCCTTGAGAGAGTCTTAATTTTCTCCTTGTTTATGTCTCTGTGATCAAAGTAGCACTGTATCTAATCCTTAGAATTTTAGGATAATTGTACAAACTTTCTTATTACCCAATACACAAATATACCTTTACCATAGATAGTGTTCCTATTTCTTCTCCTCTCCCACTATTTCTAATCCCTGCTTCAATGAATTGGACCTCCTCATTACTATTTTCTCTCACTTAATAGAAAAGGATGTTTGAGGGTTTTTTTCCCCAAAGTTCTGTGTCTCAGTATGGACACATCGAATTTTTAACCTTATCTTCGCAGAGCATTGTTGCAACACAAGAACCTAGGTCAACACATTATCTTGTATTAATGTGATCTATTGATCATCCTAGCACTTCTGCTAGAGAAATACAGATTCCTGAATTAAAGTCTTGAGTGTTTGCAAGATAGGAACTGAACCAGATTTTAGATATGTTAGTATAGTTATTTTGTTTAATTTTATTAAAGGAATATTATTTTTAGAAAAGGAAAAGATACATTTGCCTTTGCAGTTATAATTGCTTACAATTAAAATTCACTGTAGTGCCTCAAAAACTTGGCAGAATGAGTCAGTGTATAAGTATATAATGAAGTAATTAAAATTCAATGTGTATTTGAAGTTGGACTTTGTTACGAACAAAACCTTATTCTCTAATACTAGTGGAATTTTTTGTTTTAAAACTAAAACTAGAAGCTATGTGACATTTTTGGTACAATTGGTAGAGTTTAAGTCGCCCATTGCCTACAAATAACACTGAAGTATTATTTTATCCTGTAGATCAAACAGAGACGCTTTGTCTTAGGAATTCTAAGAAGCTGTCTTTAACATTTTTTCTGGTATAAGATGTAATTATTGAATGACTCCTCCTCTAGAATAGTGACACATTGTGAGCATATCTAAATAATGACTAAAATTTAAGATGGCTATCTAAGAATTTTTTTTACCACAGTACATTCATTTCAGACAAGTGTAACTTAATCATTAACGATGCTCCTTTTTCTCCCCATGTTTTTCCTTTTTTCCATAATGAAATTACCTCATACTGGCTTCCCAATGCCTTCCACCTCCCTTTGTCTCCCTCATTGTCAGTGCTGCTGTTTGATTTTTTTTTTTTTAAGTGCTGCAGATATAGCACCATGTTTGATTAAAATTGTAAAAATCCAAAATGGTGGTTAACATTAGTCACATGATCCAAATTTTCAGTAGCTGCCTGAGGTTTTAATACCATTGAATTATACACTGAACAATTGTTTTCTGCATCTCTTCTTGGCAAGTCCCACATCTTTCCTACTAGTGCGCTATTCAAGGTCTCTGCTGAATCTTTCACACAGGCCAGCCTCCCCTACAGCAGTCTCAGACACGCAAACCTGAACTTCCAAACTGTCTCGTGAACTCATCCTCACCTGGACCACCTGACACTTTGGGACCACCTAAGAACTTGGGAGATGAGGTGCAGGCATAGTGCTTTCCTCGTAACATGTGCTTTGGGGACATGCCACATCTTTTAATTTTAGTAAACTTATTATTGAGGTATAATGTAGATATTTTTAAAATGCACAAATCCTGTGTGTGCAGCTTAGTGAATTTTCACACTTAGCACATCTGTGTAACCAATACCCAATCAAGAATTAATGTTGCCTGCATCAAGAAGCCTCCTTAAGAGAGATCATATCCTGACTTTTAACAGCCTAGATTAGTTTTGTCTGATTTCAAACTTTATTTGGAATCATTTTGTATGTACTCTATTGTATCTGGCTTCTTAGGTCAGTATTTTGGTTGTAAGATGTATCTATGTTGTTACAGTTCATTTTTAATTGCCATATAGTATATTCCATTGAACAAATATACCATAATTCTGCTGTGATAGACATTTGGCTTCTTTCTAGTGGAGCTTCTATGAATAATGCTGCTATAATAGCCTGGTGACACCCCATCTTTTTTATAAAGTAGACTGCAATTTTTTATCTGTATTTTTTTCTTTCTTTCTAGAACACTATTAGAGAATGGCAAACTGTGTTTTATATCGCTGCTGCTATTAATGTATTTGGTGCAATGTTCTTTATGCTGTTCGGCAAAGGTGAAGTGCAAACCTGGGCTCTCAGTGATTACCATGGACACCGGAACTGAAGGAACCAATAAATAATCCTGTGTCTACTGATAGACTTTCATTTAATCATGTAACCTAAAAGTGCCTTTATATTTTAATGTGTAGGTGTTCCATATACAAAAAAAAGTACTTGTATTAAGTTTTTAAGGATTGTAATTATGACATGTCTCTAGTTGCCAGTTTAGTAAAATTAGCTGTTTTTAATTATTAAAAATATATTTGCTGTAATTTATACTTTAGATTCACATACCTGGCTGCAAACTCAGGCAACATGAAGTAGTTGTATTTATTTTTAAGGGCCATACAGGAATGATCTGAAAGGATCTTCTATACCTTTGCTGATTTAAACTGGAGAAAATTCCTGGTAAACACCTGTTTTTGTCCTACCTCCCTCCAAAAATCATTTGTCATTAGGCCTCCTTGACACCTAGGTCTGAAACTGTAGCATGTCCTAGAGCCACTATGGGAGCTCTGGTGGCGTAGTGCCTAAGGCATTTGACTGCTAACCAGAGGGCTGGTGGTTCAAAACCACCAGCCACTCCTCGGAAGGAAAATTGGGCAATCTACTTCTGTAGAGATACTGCCTTGGAAACCCAAGGAGGGGTCGCTATGAGTCGGATCCGACTCAACGGCCAAGAGCTTGGTTTGGTTTTGGTTGGAGCCACTGTATAATTTGGCCTGGTCACTGAGCTAAGGGAACCTTGCCCAAGCAGCTGCCAAACATTCCCTCCCTGGCTTCAGGGACCAGGGAATGCCCAGTAATTATCACAGGCAGCCTCCAAGCCCAGCGTCAGTGCCAGGAACAGCTGTTCCTGCCTAGGGGCTGTTAACAAGTAGATAAAGCCCTGAGTAGGCAGGAGAAGGGAATCCACAATGTGGTCTTCCCGAGCCTGCAAACCTTTCCCAGCACACCGGAATACTGATTGGCATGTAACATGCAAATGAGAAATATGATGTCCAGTTAATCACAAATAATATCATCCTTGACTTAAACTGGCTTCATGTGGATCAGAGTATAAAATTTTTGAGCCACCAGAATAAATTCTTTTTTAATTTAAATCCTCTCACTTTTTCTTTTAAGCTTAAGTGTAAAGTGACTTTTAAAGGCATATCCTTTAAGACCAGGGACATAATCATCCTTACTTCTGGTAGCTGAAATCAAACTTTTCCAGTTTTTTCCTGGATCATCTTCCAGTGGTTCTTGAGCATGCTCTGAAGGCATTCGTCTGATTTAAAACTTGCCTTATATTTTATTGTTTTTCAACACTACCTATACGATTTTAACTGAGAAAATTGTTTAATGTAATATGATGTGAATACATTCATGTAAATTTATTGTTAAATTTGTAAATAGCTTGAAATTGCTTTGGTGATGATACTGCTTTTATAAATCATCAAAATAATAAACTTTTTTGCATTGACTTTTGAAACTGACCATCCTATGATATTTTCTAATGTCCTCAGTGACCATTTTACATCTCTCACATCCTCCTTAAGCCACTAATCTACCTGTACACATATACAGCTCTCGAAGATGACCTGCCACCTCTAGGCTCTTGGACCATCTAAGTGATGCGGTTTCAGAGGATTTCTGTTGCCATCAACCTGCCCTTCCTCGCTCTGAAAAGGTCCACTATTGCTGCTAAAGTGTACACCTATCTCATGGTTCGGTACTTACCTTGCTTCAGAAATTCCTCTTTAATTTGCTCCTTCAGTCTCTACCTCTCTTCTTTTCCTTCTATCTCAAAGACACAGGAGTCTTCTCTCACCTTTAAAAACAAATACAACACTCTCCTGGGGACATAAAAACACATATGCATACACAGACTATATCTAGAATAATACTCAAACTGCAAACAGCAGTTACCTCTGGAGGGAGAAAACAGGAAACCAGGGTGAGAAGGAGAACTAAATTTCACTTTATGAGATACATAACCTATTCAAATAAATACCACAAGGATCAGTTGCCATCAAGTTAACACCAACTCATGGTAATCCCATGTGTGTCAGAGTAGAACCCAGAGGGCTTTTAATGGCTGGTTTTTTCCAAAGTAGATCACCAGGCCTTTGTTCCAAGGTACCTCTGAGTGGACTTAACCTTCAACCTTTCAGTTAGGATCCAAGCACACTAACCTGTGCACTATGCAGGGATTGCTTCAGAGAAATACATGGTTTTAAAAAGCAAAATCAAACAAAACAACCTGCTTGCTCAAGCTACTGTAATCACCAGGTTTTTAACTGCCTGCCAGGCATCCCAGTCATAGTTCTCTTTGCACCTCAGACTTACTTACCACCTCATCTCTATCCCCCACTTCCCCACAGTACCACCACCACCCTGCCACTGCCCCTGCTGTCTACCTTATTACTGTTAAGATCACCATTTCCCCAGTCATTTCGGCTTGAAC